ACTCGGCCATTTTAAGGTTATTAATGTCTTATCGACGTCTCTAACCTATCTTTAGGTCATATGGCACCTACTGCTGCATTCTAATATGATGGGAATGTCAAATTCAAATTTGTCCGGATTTAAGTGGCGGACCCTGTATATATATGCACGCGTTGGCTCGATGAGAGAGAAACGTCGTTTGCATAAATAAATAAATGATCACCGTGCGCTCTCTTCGCTTTCGTCCTGCGCTGCTCCTGCACGGGAATGTGATAGCTGAGGACGCTGCTAAGCGATACCTTAAAGTTTTTCATTATTGCCGTCTGATTCGCCCTCAATTCTCCTTCAAATCGGTTAGTAAGCGTGTGCAAAGTGTAATTAAAGATTAATTTTTTAACGAACAAAGAGCCGTAGCTCCACACACACACACACACACGATGAACGTGTCAATGGACACAAAATGAAAAAAAAAAAACAGTATAAAAAAAAATTTTAAAAGCACAACTTTTGAGATGAAAAAATGAAATCAAAACAGTCGGATCAACTTACTTTGGAAATTGCCGCAGACGGCATTGCAATCCTGTTCGGTCGGGAAATTATTTCGGTTACCGTCGCACCCGGAATAGCTAAACAAATGACAGCGACCGGATTGTTTGTCGAAGTAAGCTCGCAATATATTGGAATTGCAATGTCCTTTCTCCATGGGCTCGCTACAGATCTCTGTAATCAGTGGTGACATTTCGACGCACAGTGATATGATGAGAGAGAGAGAGAGAGAGAGACGCAACGCGGACACAATGAGACGCGCGGGGAACCGTTCCCCAACGCTCGGGGATGAAATGAACAGACACAAGTAAACGTAACGTGATCGATTTTGTTTGTTAGATACTTTGTTAATATCTCATGCGTGCTATCGTCGGTGCTGTAGTTAAACATCGGAAGGATGTCGTCTAACGGCGAGCGCATCGGAGAACGCACCTGCGCCTCCGCTAATTTATCTGCGTGTAATAAAAACTCAGCTAACACAGTATCAAATGTCAATTGATAGAGAAAATTTGATGCGAAAACAATTATTTCGACCAGGACTCGAATCAGAAATCGCTTCATTTTTGCTTGAAACGGAACGCGCTACCAGCAGATATACTACCGAGGCATTTGATGAATCTCTTTGCAAACAAATCGTAGAAAGTCAACAATTTATAGATTGATGATTTACTTCGCAGATCATCGAGGCAGCAGGTACGTATTCCAGAGAGAGATTTAGTAAGTCTCTCTTAAAGAGCGCTTCACTATAAAATTTAAGATCGAAATTTTCTCCGCAGTCTACCGATAAAAAATCTATTGTTTACATACGTTCCGCGTCCTCCTTCGAGAAATCGCAGCTCAAAATCTCGGCAGTGCACGACGCCTGCTGCACCTTGCACTCCTCGTCGTCCTTGTCCCAAAATTTGTTCATCGGCAGTCTGGATCGCAATTTCACACCCGGTCCGCAGCTCGAGCTGCACGGCGACCACATGCTCCATTCGGAATAGCGATCCTTTGGGCACTTCTGCGATCATCAATGTAAATCGATGATCATCATGTTCGAGAAGCAAAATGACCGCGATCAAATAAAGCGAAATTTACGTTTCTCACATTTTTCTTTCGTTTACGATTAGTAAACAATATTTTTCGTACGTCGAGGTGCAGACTTGTGACTTGTGACGGTGTCATGGATAAGATGATGAAATGGTGCAGGTATGTCGATTTTACTCGTGCGAAGCTGTCGCCGTTAGATCTAGCTGAGTGATTTTAAACTCTAGCACAAAGCTGCGAGTTCGGTCCAATAAATATCGAGCGGAACTTATTTAAGCCTCGTATTTTTCAAACTATGTCTCTTTGTTTTTCAAAGTATAGTAGTAATTTATGTTTTTTAATTTTAAATAATTTATTATATCTTCCAGACTTGTTGTGTTTAGTCTGTTTTTGTTTTCAAAAAAGTAATGCAATTAATTTTTTTTAGTAACTTATCACATATTAAGTGCAGAGTGTTATTTTTTGTTATGTGAATTAAAACTAATCATTTTAATTATCTCGTTGATCTCTCGTTTTAGAGAGCGTGCATTTTACAAAAAAGAAAACTCCTTCGCTCGATATTTGTCAGAGATTATAATAATTAGTCGTTACGCGAATTTTTTTTTTTCGCACGGATCCGAATAGATAGTTGCGTCGTACCTGCAGCCATTCCTCGTTCATATCCTCGGTTTCGTCCGCTGCCTCACTGACATAGTCCTCAGTATGATCATCCAACTTTGATCGTTGTCTTACCTCTTCCGGGTCCTCGCCATTGCAAGGAGCGTTTTCGCAGTCGATCGACTGTTGAAGCTGCGGTCCGTTTGGCTCGGCCCTGCAGTACTTGCGATATTTCCTCAGCCGGAAGTTTCTCGACCGTGTCTTGCTGCCCTCGCCGCAGCTCGACGAGCACGAGCTCCAATCTGTCCATTCGGACAATTTGCACTTGTCAGTGTTCACCAGTCCGCCTCGACGACCGTTACTGACGCAAATCGCAAGAGAAATCAGTTTGACAACAGACTTAAAAATACTTGTCATTGCAAAATATAATTTTTTTAAAAGATAATTAAAATAATTCTTTTATTCGAGCATTTTATTATAGTTAAATAAGAGATTTAATTTATATTTTCCAAATATAAATCTGAGAGTTTTAACCTTACTTATTTCACAGTGAAATTTTTTTAATTTGAGAAAGAAATGTTAGTTACTTAATTATTAGATTTGATTATAGTTACATTTTACTTTTCACGTTAGTCATAAGTACTTTTATATTAAAATTAAAATTTTAATTATCCTTTAAAATAAAAGTTATTTCTTTTATATTGCGAGTAAAGTCCTTTACCAGTGCGGGTTTTGTGGGTTGTAGCAAACCTTCCGATCCGTAACAAGAGTGTTGCATTTGTTCGCATTTGCAGCCGCTTCGTCGTAAAACTGGCGTTGTCGCAATTGCGTGCCAGTTCCACAGGTAACCGAACACGGACCCCATTCTGCCCAACTTGTCACCTTGCAAGCCTCTGTATGAACCGTCGAATTTTTTCCTCAGTTACATGTGATAACAATAAATTGTGCACATATTTTAAAATCTCGTATTTAGATCGTATATAGATCCAAAACCTAGACAAACATATTTTTAATTTATATTTTATATAAATAAATATATAGTGTGTTTTACGCACACACACCGCATATATAAACTTATCATGCAACTATATAGAATATATAGGAAGCACACACATTCAAGAAACCCAATATCATTTTCTGGAAAATGTGTTGCAACGATACTGTTGCTAGTTTTTTTTTTTTTTTTTTTTTTTTTCAATTTGAATTCACTGCACCTGTATCAGCCAGCGGATCGATGGTGTTCTCGCAGGTCTTCTCGTACAATCGCTGTCGGTTCAAGTAGAGCTTCGCAAGGGGTTTCATGTCTAGACCAGAAGGATCATAAAAGGGCGATCCCGAGTCGTTCGGATACGTCGACGTTATTCGCCGAATCGGTTCTTGCGGATCCGTCGGCGAATCGGGCGACTAGTAATCACGAGATATATGCAGCAATTAATAATCTATAAATCTACATGTAAGTGTTGGTTAGTAATTACAGTCGTAATTTCGCGTCGAAAAAAAACGCGTCGAGCAAACGCGTGTAAATAAACGCGTGTAAATAAACGCGTGATTTTTTTATCGGGGAAAGAAATTTTTTATTACGATTTACCCTACCAAATACGTAATGCCACTGTCGGTGCCGGCGTCATACGGGTACAAGTTCAATTGTTTGTTCGTTATCCAGGTGCAATTCGACAGGCAAAGCTCCAAACCGGCCACACCGATGAACCAGTCAGGAGACGGGACTAAAAAAATTAAATTATTTCATATCACAATTAAACGTAAATTTTGTTTCGCATTTATTTATAAATAACGAGATGTGTCTTACCAATCATAGATACCAAACTCATCAGATGATGCTTGCGGTCCACGCGGAAAACGGCGAAAGTTTTACCGGTCACGTTCGGATAACTGATGCCTCTCGCCTTGATGATGGTCCTTATCTTGTCGCTCTGGTCCTTCAATTCGGATTCTAATTTCCGAGTGGCACCGAGCTCGGCCACTTGTCGCAATCCTATACTGGCCATTTCGTTGTTCTGCCAGAATCTGTACTCGCCCGTGTGCGACGCGCCTATGACGTCTGAAAATCGAATCGACAGACCTCTCGGGAAATCCTGCGAGAAGAGAAAAAAAATAATGAACAACATCCCGACGCGGTACTTTGATTATTTGAAAAGTTTTTCTTACCTTTGGATGAGTATTGCGACTCCAATGAGCTTCGAAAATGACTTCGTATTTGGCTTCGTCGCAGGCGCAGCACTCGTCCAGAACTGGACCCTGATCGTCGGCTTCCGCTTTCGAGTCCGGACACATAGTGCGAACCAAGTTCGAGTCGTCCATGTACCATATGTTTGGCGCCTCCACCACTGTGGCTCTGCAACGGAAAAATCAAAACAAACACGATTGCGATACGTATGTATATTTTTTATAATGTGATTTATTTCTTTGAGATTCCTGATTAATTAGGAATGCTATATATTGAGGATGTTAATATAAGTATGTTATTTTTTTTCTACCTGAGAAGCACGCAACCACTGGCTTCAACGGGACTTTTCCAGATTATCGACACTTCCTCCTTGTCAATTTTGGACGTTTCCACGATGGTGTTCGGGCAGTTATCCGCGAACTTGGTCATCGTATCGTCCTCGAGATCGAAGACGCCTATATCGGCCGTCTCATTCATGTTTTCGGCCTCGGCGGATATGAGAAATCTTCGAAATTTCCGATGCGCCTGATCAGAATTATCGGACTTCAGGATCACTGAAATAATTGGCGCTTTCTACATATTTGTACTATTTAACATTGCGCTATAACGCACAGTCACGAAATATGTTTTGCACATGCAAAATTCTATTTTTTTCTCTTTAGGCGAAAAAAGAAACTTAACGTTTGCTGCAAATGTCGGAAAATAATTAATTTCGACAGCACCGACGTTCTCAATGAAAAAAAAAACGTATTATAACTCAAAAAAACGGTTTTTGCAAATGTCAGAAACTAATTACTTTCGATGATGGTGAGTAGCACCGACGTTTTCCGATATCGATTTTTAAAAAAACAGAACGTATTTTGGATTAAAAAAAAAACTTACATACGCGGCGCACAGTTTTATGTTTCAGAAATGTTGTTTATCAAAATTTATCGCGTACACGCACAATACGTGTTTTGCAAACACGATGTATCAAAAAACTACGTGTGTACGGATACGTGTCGGTTTTCGTATATTGAATGAATATTCGCGTCTCTCGCGGGAATAGAAATACATCAGGCCGACCGGGTGCTATTTATAGCAAGGATTAAACACACGAAACACACACACACACATACACACATACACATCGTGAATTCAGCGCTGCTTTCAAAGAGATTTCTTTCTCTGTCACGACGAGCGTTTATTACGTACAGATCGATCACGATTGATATGACAGAAAGTAATAATCGAAATGATTTTTTTTTTTTTTTTTTTTGAAAAAAGAAAATAGAATAAACGAAATCGAAAAAGAGTGCGTGACGTGGAGGAAAATTATAGACAGAAAATTCGATTCGGACGCATCGCGCGCTGCACAAAAAAAAAAAACCACGTTTATGTAGTCGCAAGGTTGTCCGTTCGTAGGTCACTCTTTATATCATAGGAAGTAATACTTAGCTGTGTTACAAGCCATTTATGGCTTCTGATATTCTGGGTCTTCTTCGACTCTGCGTCTCTTTGTTTACTCGTGTAAGACTTGCATGTCATTCCGAAGTTCCTTGAGATTCCTGTCTAAGATCGCTGCTGATCTAAGATTATATTATTGCGATCTCTCTGAGAGATTCTATTGTTCTCGATCGTGACAAAAACTAGAGCGCACAATTTTCAGACACGCGGATTGTCTCGAAATCCGTCGCGATATGCCGCGTCTTCATAATTCGTATCTAACTGAATTAACAAGATCAAATTGAAGATCATTGATTAAATTATCTTGTTCGATATTTTATTTTTTTTTTTTTTTGAACCGTCGTATAGTTATATCGCAATTCAAAATTTTTGTCGCGAGATCGCATAATGAGTCACGGTGTCCGCGTTCACCTCTCGCACGATCATTCTCATAACCCTGAATTAGAAGAATTAACCAGGCAAGAAAAAAAAACGCAGTTAAACTGAGACCTTCATCGGGGGTATCGTTTTTCCCACGCAACCACCGAGCGCTTCAGCGCAACGAGACTGTGTACGAAAAACAAATTCGAATCCGGGAAGAAGAACAATCATTTCGCGCGAATTACGCGACGGACGCGTGATTTGATTCTAAAAAAACGGAGATGAATAAATTTCCAGAGTCTCGCAGTTTGAGATTTAATCTAATCGGAGAATGGCGGAGTGTGCGATTGACCGATGTCTGGTTCGCGGGCGAACCATGTAACGTACATACATATGTTCGTCACCGCGCGTCATACGTGTGCGTCGACACATATCAATTGTCACGAAAGTGACTGACGTCACTTGCGCGTAACACAAGCGACAAGTTTTCATTTCGTTGAAGCGATATATAAACAAATAAAATTTGCGTTTAGCAAATGTGATAATGTCCGGGAATGTTGTTGTTATTATAAATTTTTGACATTTATGTTATTTCGTTGAAAATGACGAAGGTGCGAAAAATAACAAATACATGATAAACTGATATATACGTGATAAACTTTAAAATATATCGCATGGTCCGCGGCAGATGATTTTCCAGATGAACGTGGCGGCGGCGGCGGCGGCGAGCGTGTTTAATAGAATTTCACTGGACCCGGCTACTGTGAGAGAGAATCCGTTCGCAGCGGCGTCTCGCACCTGGCTTACCGCCAGCGGGCGCGTTACGTAACGCATTAATTCATCGGACCCACGAAATTTGCATGCGTTAGTGGATATATCGGAGGTGTCATGCGCGAGGCGAGTAAAGTTTCGCGAAGCGAAACAGTGAACGTTGATTGCATCGGATTATCGACTGGATATAGCGAAGGACCGAAATGTTTCCGCGGGGAAATTTGTCGCGGATGCGACATCGACAAAAAACGCGGACGCGAAACTCGCTTAGGTCGCAGCGCGAAAATGCGAATGCACAGAGAGAATTTTAACTATCTGCTCGAATTAAATGCGCGCATCGCGCGATGCGTTTTTTTGTTTTGCGTTTTTTTTTTTTTTTTCCATTCAACACTATGTCTCGAGAGAGAAAAAAAACTAGGGCACACGAGAATTCAATTAAATTTAATTTAAAATTTCTAACATTTCACACAGAATTGTCTCGAGAAATACATTGACGTACAATACCGTACCGATCGAAAAGTTTCAATTGAATCGAGAACAATTATTTCAAATTTGACGAATTCGTTGTCGTTTTTGTCAAGAAACAGTCACACAAACGGTGTTCATCATCCACACGGCCTGGTTTCGGCGACAAAGGGATCAAAACCGCCAATCCGCGCCACAAAGCTAATCGGTCAAAGTTCTCATTGCAACTCAACTCCGGCATTTATCTCGATTTTCGAGGCGAAATGACCTTTTCGGTCTTTCTGTCGCCCGTATCTCTCTTTTTCCGAATCCCCGTTCGCCCCGATCTTTCAATCCAAAGCCGAGAGACTTTTCGCTGATTGGAAGATCAGACCGGCGACAGTCAAGCAGAAAGCTTCTCGGTCTTAAAGATTTACGGCTGGATCTTCGGTAATTGCCGCAATTATTGCTAAAGTCGTAGAACCGCCGCAAGGAGAATCAATGCGCGCGCGCGCGCGCGCGTTTCAGAGCCCCGCGACAATCAGAATTGTCTGTATCTGTCCGATGACGTCTCGGCGTGTTTCATCGGTTTCTTGGTCGCGTTTGTTACACCTGATGCGAATTTACAATCATCGGATTATATTCCGGGTTTCGAAATTTTTCCGGATTTTTCGAATTCGTATCGCATCCGCGCACACTGCGCACACTTACCGCTGTACCGCGTGTTCGGCATGTACGCGTAAACCTGTTCGGTCCTGTTGTACAACGTCAAAAAGAAGTGAAATTTTCCCTCGGCGTTTGAGCGCGACATGGTAACACCTTCGATAAGCCGAGAGCATTTTGTTGAATTCACGCTTGTCACTGCAGCGAGGAGCAACAGTAAAACGCTGTAGCACGCAATCCGAGTATCGTACATCGTCTGCAAAAAATAACATAACCAATATGTGTTATTTAACACTCAAGAGGACAGGTCACTTCTGAATGGTTAAAATTCTACTTGAATAATCAAAAAATCTCTTCGCGTACGGCGCACGAGATAAATGTCCAATGATCGGACCACTTGTGCCGAACGTTTATTAAAACAATATAATTACAAAGAGAAATATTATATTGTGAATAATTAACATTTCAAAAACATATCTCTAACAAAGTTGTTATTATTGTTGTTTCTTTAAAAAAATATTTGAAACATGGATGTTTATGTTACGAATAACAAAAACCTCGTAAATCTTGTGTGATGTGTGAAAAAAATATACAAAAATCTCCCCCGAAACTTAAAGACACGCCCAATTGAGTGACCCAGTCGTCAAAGAGGGTGAGAACTGTGAGAATCAGCTGTGTACAATTTCACCATCGCGCGTGTTGAAAAAAAAAAAAAAAATTAATCTCCGCGAGAGAGAAGAAGATTTTAATTGTGAATATATATATACCGTCGGTATCGGACTTAGATGAAACGTAAAGCCGCGAGAATGTGTTTCTCGCCGCGCGAATGTAATCTCGTAAACGCTCTCTCGTCCCGTTTTTCCCGACGCAACAACGGCGAGGTCGCGATTACGAGAATTTGCGAACGTGGGTGCACGTGAATACCGCAAACGGGATCGATGCCAACACGTGAGAGACTTGCCCTCGCACACACGTCGGTCATATGCTCGCACGGAACACAAAGCGTTGCTGAAAATGAACCGAGTCATTGGCCGATCTTGGCAGTATCTCGGCGTGCGAAAAGCCCCACAGTTCATTGAACGAGCGTGAGCGCGCGGTTCATTGAACGATCGAAATAGATCGGACGTCGATCAAAAAATTTAAGCGGAGTGAAGGAATATATATATATATATAAACGCGAAATATTTTGAAAAGCGTATTTTTTTGTTTTTTTGTTTTTTTTTTTGTCACTTAAACTCTCGAGTTTTTTTAATCATCACTTCCGCATGAGAAGAGCGCAATTGCGCGAACGACGAATCGACGCCGCGTAGCGACGTCGATATATGTTGGTTTAAGAGAGTTTGAGGGAGGGAGAAAACGAGAAGAGAGAGCGTCGCGAGTGAATAGCAAGGATCTTCTTGGCGAGATATTACGGTAGGATCGAAGCCGCGAAATGGGAGCGCTTATACGTATGAAAAGGCGAGAGACGTATTCACACACGGTCTCGTCAAAATAGACGATTTAATCTTTGACGGCTTAGAAACTGTAATCCGTGTAATAATTTCTTATCAAATAGGTACGTCTTGCGCACACGTTTATATTAAACTTAATATCACATTAAACTTAATTTATTGTCTTTTAGATTGCGATTGATTTTCATCGTGTTTCTGTACGCGTTATTGTATAATTTACGGCCACTTTTGTATTATTAAACATTCAAGCACAGAGATTCCTTTATCCTCGTTTCGCTTAGCCGCTTCTTTTATACGTTGCTGCGCCCCCATTTGTTACGATCAGCCGGCGTCTCGTTTCTTTCTTACACATTTTGATCTTTCTTTTTTATTTCGCAATAAAATTAATTAATTTTATTCTAATAGTTCGTCAAATTTGTCCGCTCTTTAAGGACGTTCTCCGACTACAGTGGTTGGCAACCTAAATACAGTGGTTAGCAACCTAAAATATATCTCTTCTCATGAGTAAGTTTGTACTGCTATGACAAAGTTAAGTTGAGCTATTCAGCACTGCTAAGATCCGCTTACTCTGCGCAGAAGTTCAAAAATAGCTGCAGTACACAGCGCACACAAATCCAGCAAAACAAAAAAAAAAACAAAAAAAAAGCTACGGTTTGAGAAAAAAGGTTGCCATATTATTCAAAATCGTATTTTAATTAGGACACTCTTCACTACCACATACTTGTTTTTTAAAAAAATCCTAAGAAAATTGTCGTCAGTAATTTAAAAAAACCTCACTTCGCAAAGGCTCAACATAGGAAAAATCCATGTTAAAAATTGAAATATAAATCTTCCATATTTTGGAATTTAACATTGCTACCCCCTATTATTCAAACACAGGCTACGTTTAAATAGATCATAAACTATGTATATCGCAAATTTAAAGAAAATCCTAAGAAAATAAATAATTCGGAGAACGTCCTTTAAGTTAAATCCTATTGGATACAACAGAATATTCGCGCCCCATTGTGTTGCTTTATCGTTTGATTTTCATCTTTTTTTTTTTCATGTTTATTATAAATTTCGCATTGTATCTTACTTACGTCGGCACGCAATAAATTATTATTAAAATATTAGTTTTATTATTATTAATCTTAGAAAGAGTTTCTTTCTCCCGCGTGCTTTTCCTCGTCGCGAATGAACGTTTAGCGGATAAAAGGGATCTTACGGTGTCGGGGGAAGATCTTTTTACGTCTCACCTTAAAACACTCTTTATCTCGTCAAAGGCTTTTTGGAGGAAATTGCATTTCGATCACATTATATATACTTTAACAGGATATTTCGTTTTTCACAAACGCGAGAGAGAGATTGCGACACAAGCTTGTGGATATAAGTATTTTTTTCTTTGCGGAAGAAATCTCTCCCGTACAGAGATTTAATGATCTAAGTGCATAAAGACATTAGCGCGTAAAGACAAAAAAAAAAAAAAAAGCGAAAATGCACTTCCGCAGCTGCCGCTGGCAGAGAAATCGTCTCGTTGGTTTCTTTTCAATTGCTTTTTTATCCCTACTTATTCCGACATTGCGCGCCGCATACGCGCGCATCCGCTTCATCCGCCCTTATCTGTTTCCTCTTGCGAACGGCTTGACAATACGGTTCGAATAACGGTGTCTAGTCGTGCATAAGGGTCGTAGCATTCGGCACGACCGACTGATCGCACGTCGATCGGCGTAACAGAACGTGCCGGGACCGTGCAATTAGCAATCTAACACACAATCAATAACAATTTAATAAATAACGAACGTAATTGAATTGCGAATTAATTCAATTACAATTCATGACAGTAATTAAATTCAGTAATTAAACTTAAATTAAAGCGCAAAAAATCACAAGCGTGTTTTTAACACATTACACGTTGCTTGTTGCTGGAGGGTAAAACTACCGATCGCGACACTCACCGTCCGAGCTGAACATCACAGCTCTCTGAAAGAGAGAACGGAGAAGAGAAACTCTTCCCTTACTCGCGAAACGATTCAGTGCCGGCAGGTGCGCTTCGTCAAAACCTCACTTTGAGCATCTCTCTATCTCTATCTCTGTATACGTGTATTTTGCAACACGATATGAGCCATTATTCGATGAAAGCGGCGACGAAAGCTACCAGAAGAACGATCGTTTTTCATTTCATCAAAGAGGAAAAACGGTTGCCCTTTTTGACAAAAAAAAAAAAAAAAAAAAAAATAGCTCGAGCGGAAAAAGGAAACACACGATTGCGTGCAATTTACACGCGAAATTGCACCACAAAGGGCGACTCCGAAAATCTGTGTCCAACGGCACAACTCACCGTGACGTTGTTCCTCAACGTTGCAACTCTCTCTCTTTCTCTCTCGGCTACTTCTCGTTCTTTCGTTTCTCGCGTGTCCACGTGTCGCGTTTTCTTCGGCGCTATACAACAACGGGATATATACAACAACGCACATTCGAGCCGCATCCAACACCGCCGCGAATCTTCGGCTGACTGACAACGGTTTGACTCTCGGTCGGAGCTAATATCAGCGACTGTTACCACTTGGAGCGTGCGCAGCGTATCTAAAACGGTTTTCCCGCAACACTCGCGCGTTTTAGGGATGTGCTCGAGCATCGAAGAAATACGGTCGCATGTGTTAGTGACAGAAAGATCGACCGAAGTTTTTAATTCGTTAACGAAAATTTTTATTGCGCTTCTTTTTTTTATTATAGTGAATAAAATATCTCGTGTAAAATATTTTTGTTTTATATTTGCGCGATTTCTTTCTAGAAACTTTTTTTTTTATTAAAAAAGTTGTGCACTTGAAATTTATACACAAAATCGCTAATTACATCATATTGCGAAATGAATCGTCATCTCGTGATACTTCTAGAACCCAGAAGACTTAACTTAGAGTGAAAGAGAGAGAAAGAAAAAGATGCTGCGGTATGTAAAAAAGAGCCAAATTAAACTGGTTAATTGACTTGACCTTGTTCAATGCTGAATTGCTTTATTTGTTCAAGCACGAGAAAACTCTTTGCGCAGTTTTTCGGTAATTAGAATGACGCCGCGTGTCTATCATAATTCCAGCCAGTTATACACACACACACACACACACAAACACACATGCGCGTATTTTCCAAGAAACTGTAACAAAATATGTTTAATGTATCAAGTGCACGTGCATCATACGCAAATGCTTTTTTTCTATTTATTTGAAAATTTATTGTACATACATAAATATGTATAAATTTCAAATATTAATGTTAAAATTGACAATTAATATTAAGATTAAATTTTTATTCAAATTAAATTTATTAAAATTAAGAATTTAATATTAATTGCAAATTTTTATTGAAGTCATATTTTTATTATTAACCTTTTGTTGTTAACAACCCTGGCGGTGACTGGATCACTTGAGACACGATGGATATTTGTTATAATCAAATATATATTTAAATATTACTGAATAAAATACATAAATATATTTAAAAATAATAAAACTTCTTACAAAAATTTATTGAAAAATAAGATCGAGCGAACAGCTGTAGTGCATCGCGTTGGTTAATTTTACCAGTGAACAGAAATTAAGTTTCAATGCACTGAAGCATTTAAGCTGATTTTCCTTTGGGGTTTCTTTTTAGTTTGAGTTTTTTGATTATAAAAATGTATTTACTGGTATGATCGAAATAATGCGATTATTATTCGCAATTATTATTGAAAGCTTGATTCACAGTTCGTTAAATTAATCGATTCGCCTGATTCAAAGGGACCGGAAAAAATTATGTGGATTCTCGAACTCGGGAGCAGCCCGACTAGTATTCGCAGCCCCTAACACTCAAGCCGTGAGATCAGTAAGCCGGTCTTGACCGAAATATATAATGCTTATTTTGAATATTAAATTCACTGTCGTGTGAGTGTTTTCGTTTACTCAAAATAAATATTGTTTCAGTCGTTACATCGGTAATAAATTTCCAAAAAGAAAATCTAAACAAAATAATATATTCACCCTGTATTAATTTGGGCACGCGAAAAAAACAAAACTTTTTAATTATTCAGTAAAAATATTTACAGGTCACAGAAGTGACCAACTCGCAAGTCTCATCCGACGAGCATCCTCATACGAGGGTTAATAAACCGTCGTTGTCGCGTGTGCGTGAATCCAATGCATGATCGATCGACGATTTCGAAAGCTCGAAATCGTCGATTGTCTCGAGTCAACAACACTCCAGTCGTCTCGTTGTCGAACCAACAAAACTAGTACGAAGTTGAAAACTCTTTTCGTTCTTTTTTTTTCGAAAATCTCGTACACATTTCCACCATCCGCACATCCTTCAGCTTCATCATCGATTCATCATCGCGAAGAAAAAAAAAGAGACGGAACAACCATGAGCGAAGCGGTCGCGGAAAATCCTGCAGGTTTCTCTCTTTCTGTCGCACTTACACTACTAAACCTCAAAATTGCAATTTCTAACGTGTCTGCTATACGATACCGATGAAAAAACATCGGTATCAAATAAAAAAATCTAAAACCCAGTCGCAACCGGGTAATGGTACACCATAGTGCAATTTAAAAAAAAAAAAAAAAAAAAAAAAAAAACAAATATTGCACGAAGGTTATACTATCCGATACGTAGCGTATCTGTCATCACAGCGTGATTCAGAATGTGCGATTCTTCGCGTTGTAGTACTGGCCGTTATTTATTATATTCGTACAATTCGTTATTGTTTTTTAATAGAAAAAGTAGAAGACCGTCCGCCGACCAGCGGTTCGCAAAAATCCGCTATTGGGAGTAAAATTTACAAGAGTAGAATTCCCACGTCTCAGACAACCGGACGAAGTACAGCGCGAGTACGTTAATGTCACACAACTTTTATTGTCGTAAAATATATAGTGCTCACCAAAAAACAGTTCGTTTTGTTTGTTTGTTTGTTTTTTTTTTCCAAGTGCAAGAGAACGTAATAATAAAAACACCACAAAACTTTTTTTCCGCACGATTTAGATATCACTCCACAGAGAGAAAATATTTCCTTTCAGAGCGACTCGACGAGCCGTCCGCCGTGCGAGGAGTGTTGCAGCGAGATTAGCTCCAGCAATTCCGCTCGTCGACTGACCATGAAAACTATAAACTTACCGACGTCCATCAGAAAGCCAACGAATCCGGTATCCGCGAACGAGAAACGCCAACTGGAGGTTCAATTCAACTCGAAGAAAACGCGATATGTCTCTCTGAAAAAAGATCTCGTTCACAAGCAGGTAATTATCAAGGAATTTTTTTTCTTGAAACAAGAGTGTTTGAGATTTTCTTCTTTGTCTCTCAGAAAGTTATGCAAGAGATGCACGAAGAGATATCGAAATTGCGGGAGAAGATAATCGCGATCGGCGGCAAGGATCCCGGCAACGTCGAGACGCTCAAGCCGCTTCAGGCGGAATGTCCCAAGCAGCAAAGACTGCCGATCGTGCCGCTCGAGACGAGCCCGTCGAACGACAAGCAGCAGCAGCAGCAGCAGCAGCAGCCGATCTGCATGGACGAGTCGGCGGTGATCGGCGTGACGCTGATGCAGAACCAATTGCAGAGTCTTTGCGATCGCTCGCAGGAGATCTGCCAGAGCGTTCTCGACAAGAGCCTGTCGTTCGCAGCCCTCGTCAAGACCTGGCTGACGGAATCGAGCCAGGAGGAGAAATACATCGACGACAACATGCTGATGTACTGCGTGTTGGAGCATCCGAAACTGGAAACGCAACTGGCGATTCTCGGGCGCGATAACGAGGAGACGAGGATACGGCTGGACGAGCTGAGAGCGATTCAGAGCGACTTCGTGACCGAGTTCGCGAAAAGAACCTCGAGTCTGCGCAACGAATACGACAATTGTCGCGGACGTGTGAAGCAGGATCAAGTACCGAGCGTCGTCGAGTTCATGAATCTGCGGGAACAGCTGAACGCCGCTCTCGAGGATCTGAAGACGGAGCGCGACAAGGGGAATCAGACGAAGGATTGGATGAGAGGGGCCGAGCGGCAATTGCAAAAGAAAATTCGCGATATGGAAATTTACGTGACCAACATGGAGGCGTCGCAGCAACAGCTGCAGAACAACGTGAGATCGCTTCAAGCTCAGTTGAAGCAGAAGGATCACATGATGGAGACGAAGATGAAGGACATGCACAAAGCGTTGAAGAGCAGCGAGAGTCTCGTGATGAAGGTGGAGAAGCAACGCGACAACTTCGAAGCACGGTTGTTACTTTGTCCGGCGCAACCGATAAGAATCGCATTATCTAAATATATATATGTACATATGTATTATGTCTTCTTGATATACATATATATTCTGCAGGATAGTGGAACTGAAAGAGAAAATGACTTCCAAGGAAGCGGAAGCGAACGCGACTATTAAGGAGCTGTCGGAAAAATACGAAGCGATCAGCGCGGAGATCAGTGAGGAAAAGGAGAAAAGGTAAATTATAGCTCTCCCTTTTAATATTCTATTAGTTTCG